GAGAGAGAGAGAGAGAGAGAGAGAGAGAGAGAGAGAGAGAGAGAGAGAGAGAGAGATGTTTTGAGATCCTATTCTTTTAGCCTATTTAGGCACTCGGTAGGAACACATGAACACCTAACTCTATCCCAGGGGACAAAGTCACAGCTATGAAGTGGGAATGACATTTTCCTTCCTTGTTGGAAAGGTTTTACTACTTTGCCATTCCACTTTAAATGGACAGCAAAGACAATGTCTCACTTCTAGTAAATCTGAAGACCAGAGTTGTGACTAGAACTTGTAACTGGAAGCAAAACGTACTTTTGTGTTTAATCTATCCAGCCAATGGTTTGCCCTTGCCAGAGAGGGAACCTAGTGTGATAAACCTAGTGATGAACCTGGGCACATCAAAAGAACGGAGCCCTTAGAGACAGGAAGCTCAGGTTGCAGGGATGTGTGACCCTGGACCATGTGGCCTGAAGGGACATGCTGGTGAGAGCCTTGGGAACAGGAACCAAGGCTGAGCAAAGGTGGAAGGAGTTTTTCTTTTTTCTTTCTTTCTTTTTTTTTTAGTGTGCTGTTTAATTCATTCATTAATTTTGGTATCAGGATTGAACCCAGGGACACTTAACCACGGAGACACATGCCCAGCCCTTTTTTATATTTTATTTTGAGACAGGGTCTCACTAAGTTGCTCAGGGCCTCAATAAATTGCTGAGGCTGGCTTTGAACTTGTGATCCTCCTTCTCAGCCTCCCAAGCCACGGGGATTACAGGCGTGGGCCAACGTGCCTGGCAGAAGTCTTACAACCTGCTGATAAACAGAATAGCCCAGAGCAGAAGTTGACTCCTTGAATCTGGAAACAAAATTTCAGAAAGGGTAAAGAGAAAAACCGTAAGATCAGCATCTGGAAGATCTTGGGATTCAGAGAGAGAAATAACTCTTTCCACCCAGTAGTCATTTGGGGTTACCACCTCAAATTAATAGTAACAGAAGTTAATTTTTTTTCAAGATCATTAACATTGATTTTTCCTGGAAAAAATTCTACAATATTATATCATAATTGTAGATCTTTGTTTATCCCAGGGAAAATCTGACATGATGATGAAGATTAGACCAAGACAATTTCCAGGTCTTAAGAGAGAGACTACATGCATGGTGTAGATCATGAATTTTGGATTCGGGTATTATCCTGTTTCTTCTCAACTTTGTGACCTTAATGGAGTGAATGAAGCTCAATTTCCAAAAGTTAATTTTTAAGGGTAGACTTCACTCTATATCAAGCACTGTGCCCACCAATTTATATACAGGTTCCCACTGAATTATCACAAACACGTACTGTGGCCTGAGTTAGTCCCCAGTGATTAAGCCACGAGGACCATGGATTAAAGCTATTCTTATGGAAGTGGGTTTTATAAAGTGAGCTTGGCCTTCTCTTTTTCTCTCTTGCCCTCTCTTACCATTGCCTTCCATCAGGGGATGAGGCAACAGGAAGGCCCCTTGTATAGCATTTCCCAGCCTTTGGAGCCATGATCTATGTGTAACTCAGGTATTCTGTTATAACAACACAAAATGGACTAAGACACACTCTCTGAGTGTAGTTACCCTTCTAATTTATGAAGGAAAAAAACCTGAAGCTGGAAGACAGGTTAAATCATTTGTTGAATCTTCAGGACTAAGAGTGCTGCTGAGTGAAGTTAGGTATGTGACTACAGAGCCTGAGTTTTTCCTCTGCATTACATGACCTCCTCCCTGGGAGGCCAAAGCTGCAGAATATCAGTCTTGCAAGTTCTGGAGACTGAGGAGCTGAGCTGAGGAATGATATTCAGCCTTGCAAGTTTATTTTAAGAAGGATTCACAAGTCGATTATATCTGAATTTGTGGCCATCAGATTTGTCTTAGGAAAGGGCTGCAGTATCAGTCCCACATGCATCTAAAAAGGATTTAAAAAAAAATCATAAAAAACAAAAGAGGATGCAGTGCAGGTGTCTGTTCACTGCTAACAAAAGCCTGCCAGGAGCCTTCCTGTTCTGGGCTTTTCTTTCTTGGAGGGCAGCAATTCATTTTGAACAGAACTAACACGTAGAGATGGTTAATGCTTCTTGATTCGAAATGATTTTTCAATATCCTTATGAGAATTTATTGGTTTCTGTCCATTTGGAGAAGAATTTTATTTCTTCATTGGATACACCCTCTTGGGCTTGGGTATAGAGAGTAGTTGAAGTAGAATTTGTGAGATGGGGTACTGGGTGGGGGAATTCAGTCTAAGGACTGAGGATCAAATCAGAACCAGCAACATTTTTAGACCTTTTCTACCAAAAGCATCTTTTGATACAGCTATTAAAAATAAACAAGAAGTGGTTTCATTCTCAGGTGTTTTTTTTCCCCCTTCACTTACAAAGAAGATTGGTTACCACTTGCTTTCTTGATGCTCATTCAGTTTTCTATTTCCCATCTTTCTGTTTATTTAGTTCTCTGGGGTCAATCTTCTGTCTTCAGTTTCACTGAGTCTTATCATTTTCCCTCTCTAAATTTTCACACCTCTGTCATTTTCCAAGGATCAAAGACGTGAAATTGACAAATACGTATTTTTGAAGGAAGGAAAGGAAAAAAAAAAAACAGAACAACAAACTTAACTTGGATTTTGAAAGTTTGGATTCACAGATGGCCAGGCTTTCCGTGACTTAATGACGATAGACTGCTTCTTGATTTTGACATCATCAAAGAGCTTATTCATGTTCAGGTTTTAAAGGTGATAAACTACAAAGATGGAGGATTATCTACTGTGAAAGAGGGTTTTTTTTTTGTTTTTTTTTTTTTTCCTGGCATGAGCAAAAGAACTTCCCTGGCAGAAACAGTCCGGGCCTACCACAGGATTCACAGGATTACTCCTTTTTGTGATTTTGCAAAACAGTAGAACTGGTAGGCTTTTGGAAAGGGAAGATAACACAGAGAATGCAAACCATACCTGAGAAAAATTGGCATGAAAAATAACCACGAATTCAAATAAAATAACTGACTTCTCAAAAAAATTTTTTTTGTGTGTAAATGATTCTATTTTCTAATATAAGGGCTGGGGATATAGCTCAATTGGTAGAGTGCCTGTCTCACATGCACAAAGCCCTGGATTCAATCCCTAGCACTACAAAAAAAAAATCTATTTACCAATATAAGAATGTAATTAAAGTGATAATGCACAATCTTTTCAGATGTCTGTATATTTTATATCTCCATAGTATCGCAGTTCTTGGGATGAGGAGGGGAGGGGCTGAATTGTACTTCTGCAAACCTCATTTGTTAAAGTCCTTGGGATTGGAAAAGTCCTCCACTCCCTTGGGACTGACTGTCTTTGGAGGTAAGGCTTTTAAAAGGGTACTTGGGCTAAAATAAGGTCACTAAAGTGGATTCTAGTACAATGTGACTGGCTTATTTTTAAGGAGCTTCAGACACAGATACAGACAAGGGAAAGGAAAGACTGTGAGAAGATGCAGTGAACACAGGGCCACCTGCAAGTCAAGGAGAGAGACCTCAGAAGAAACCAGCTCTGTTGACACCTGGATCTTGGCCTTCTAGCCTCTCGAAATGTGAGAAAATGATTTTCTGTTGTTTAAGTGGCTCAGTGTGGTATATGGTTATGGGTGCATGTTTATGACTTTTATGACCATTTGTGTGTGTGCGTGTGTGTGTGTGTGTGTGTGTACAGCGATTACAGTGATAGGAGAAGATGGCAGAATACGTCCTTACCCTTCCTGCTCAATGACTCAAAATCAAAGTCCTAATATAAGTGCAAGGCAATTTTGGCTGCTCTGAAAAACAGCCGGGGCCCCCACAGATCATTGTTAATTACGGCTGTCATCAGCTCCAGCCAACTTTCTGAAGAGAGTGTGAACAGAGGCCAAGGCCCCACACGACTGATAGATACCAACGGACAGGAACCACCTCCAGGAAGTGTGCTCAACCCTGGTTTAGTGCCTGTTAGTGAACACTGTTACTTAACTGTCTTTTCCTCAGAATGTCGTGAAGGTAGCAAGAAGTTGAGAATCGCCATTTTGCTGAGAGGAGCCTTGCTGTGCTTCTACCTGGGGTGTTTCAGGGATGGAGGGACACAAAGTAAAAATGGAGAAGGCCATCACACCTTTGGCAGAGTCACAGTGGGACAGGAACCTGCCCAAAGGATCCTTGAAGACAAGTGTGAACGAGGCTCTTTTTCTACCAAGTTCAGTTGTTCTTAATAAATAATTGGGTCATCTTTTTTTTATTACTTTTTTTTTTCAAAAATCCTTAGAGTTCCTCACATCCAGGTAAAAATCTTAGAGAAAGAATAGCCATTGAAAGCCAGGGTGTGAGGCCAGATGGGCTGGGTCTCAGTTCCACATGCTCCTGACTAACCTCTCTGTACTTTCAAATTTATAAAATGACAACAGCAACAATAATAATCTTTATATAGTGAGATTGGTATGCAGATTAAAAGAGTTAGAACACGTAAAATTCTTCAAACAGTGCCTAGGATGTGAGTTCATTAACCCTATCTCTTAGACTAGCTCTGACTGCACATAATAGTTTGCTGTGGGAAGAAATTAGGACTCACCAGGAAAAATATAAGCACCTTACAAGACAGAAACCACTCTTTTATCTTTCCATATTTCATGGTTTGGTAACACATAATAAAAACACTTATATGAGTTTTTGGCAGCTTGGGAGGCTGAGGCAGGAGGATTGTGAGTTCAAAGCCAGCCTCAACAATGACGAGGCACTTAGCAACTCAGTGAGACCCTGTCTCTAAATAAAATAAAAATTAGGGCTGGGGATGTGGCTTAGTGGTCAAGTGCCCCTGAGTTAAATCCCTGGTACCAAAAACAAATAAACAATTTTTGGTATAAGATGAAGGACTTAGAATTACCACTGAGTGGTATGTTAGTTCTTGGTTCAAATATTTATGAAGAGATCCCATAAAAATCAACAAAAGGTTAATCTTTAAAGAATAAAAGATCACAACAACCAAGGATTCTTAAAACATTTCTGCTCAGTATCTTCATATAAAACAAAGACAATAGCATTTCCTTAAGAGATTTTAAATTAATACACTGTTTAAAGCAATGATTTCAAATAATGGGGCTTGCTTCAAATATAATAGAAATATCAACATATAGCTCTGTTAATAGATACCTACAATAATTATACACTAATTATTCAGAATATCTATTGATGGAAATTGTTAGATAAGCCAAGACTGAGGATGACACTATTGGAAATTTATCTTCGAGAGAACTTATTCCCAAAATTTGAATCTTAATAATATCTAAAAAATGGTTTTGATTTTTCACAGAAAGCTCTAGTAAATATACTTAGTATCAATATTTGTCTGGGTAGGGAATTTATGGCTTAGAGCACTTTTTTCTCTTATTTTCCCCCTTGAATCTATTGATTGCACAAAAACTTTAAAAGAATAAGAAATTATGAACTTCTGCCACCAAAGCAACCTTATTATCCACTGCTAGCTCTAAAGCTAGATGACAGAGCATCTTGTGGACTTCCTCTGATGCATAGATGGCCTAGTTGGACAATATGGCAGACAGATAGGAAGTATGAAGACTCCAGTTTGATTCATTTTCTATTTTAATCACACTTCTTAATAATCATTAGACCAGATCAGTCCAGGGCCTTGACTAATGTGCAAGGAATATGGTTTCTGTAAGCAACAGAGGTCAATGAAACATATTACATTTAAAGTCAAACATTAAGAAAATGTCATGTCCCCAGTCAAATCAAAATAGATTGAATTCATTTTATATATATATATATATACATATACACTTCATTACCTGGTTCAATTATTTACATTATTGTTTAAATTGAGTTTTTTTAGGGGGGGAATGTTACCAAATCCAAAATAGGTAACAAAACCAACCAACCAACCCAATCTTAAAAGCAGAGTATTTTCTTTGTGAAAGAGAATTATGAGGTATTAAAATAATCTGGTCTCTAATGAAAACATTTCTGGAAAAGTCCTATCATTTTCTTTGTGGGACCAAAGTTATTCATAATGAAAGGTTCTGACTTGTTGCTAATAAAGGATGCTAGAAATGATGAGTCAGTGCTAAAATTAACACTAAATTTTGATTGAAAGAAAAAGCTAATAAATTGTATTCATCTTATTTCATTTAAACTCTGACATGATGCTTTTAGACCTTATTGATTTGATTTCAAGATATACTTACAGGTTTTTCCTCTAAGTTCATGATACTTTTAAGGAGAGGACTCACATGATGAATGGGATGAAGCTTCCATTTTATTTTCTAGATGGATCTCCAACAATATAGAAGTTCGCTAGAGGATGGGGGGTGCTTCAAGGCTCAATGATCCTCTCCTTGCAGTGCATAGCAACGCTGGTTTCTCCATCATGACTACCATGTTCTGGTAAGTGTTCATTGAGTTGGGTATAGACTTAAAGTTTGTTGCAACTTGAGATAATTTCAGGGCAGTTAATTCTGCAAAGAAACCCCTGAAGTAGAAATCTTTTCATATGCTTAATGCAATGAGCCAATAGTTTCGAGTTCTTTCCCTGCCTAGTCTCCTTAGATAACAGGATCTCAAACTAGGCTTTTCTGATCCTGGCTCCTCCTCTAGGCTATGTTCCCAGTAAAACCTTTGCTGGTTTACTTTCTTTGAATGACAGGAATCTGGTTCTCTTTGTCCCCTTGATCTCTGGCTCTATATAAGCCCTTCCTATGTACCCATTCTTCTCCCATTTTCAAAAGAACACTGTTCTTCCTTATTTTTTCCTCTAGGCATTAATTTCTCACATTGTTGCAGTTGTCCTCAGTCAAACCAACTCGATTTTCAAGTTCAAATATATGAATATATGTGAATATCTACTTTCATAGATATTAAAATTACTGGGGGTGTAGCTCAGTGGTAGAGCATATACTGTGTGTGTGTGTGTGTGTGTGTGTGTGTGTGTGTGTGTGTGTGATCAAGCCCCAGTACCAAAAACAATCCAGAGGAAAACCAAAAATAAACCAACAGACAACTTGAAGTTCTTTATTCCACTGATGGGTTCATTTGGCCATCCTTCCTTCACCAAAGAAAAGCTATCCTGTATCCCATTTCCTTATTAGTTCATCTTCCCAATTGAAAAAAAATAGTGTTAAGATTGAAAACGGTGTCTCACCATGCCATGATCTCAGAGATATTTTCCTATTAAAAGAATCCGGGAGATATAGGGTCTTAAAGACAAATGAGTTTCTAATTTTTAAGTGAGTTAAGATTTTAAAACATCTTGTCTCTGCTCCAAATCATGGTAGTCTTGGTAGATGCATCTCAGAAACTAGGATTAGTTTTGGGTGAGAGAAGTGAAGATTGGTTGAAATCGTGGCACAAAGAAAATGGTAAATGGATTCGCACATGCAAAATGGAAGCATAGTCCAATGCTTTGAGTATGTGAAGGTTTGTAAGAACACATAAGAGGTAAACTGGTGACCCAGGAAGGTCAGACAAGACCCATCTGCAGGTTTGGTAGGCAGAATCTGAAGACCTATTAGGGTCAAAGGCTCTTAGTTGATGACAACCTCATGAATATCTCACCAAGATATTGACTTGCTGTAGATAATACCTGAAGAAGTGAGGGCTATAAGTATCAGTCACTCAGCTTAGTAAATGTTAGATTCCCTTTTGTTTTTTCCACTACTGGAAATTCAGGTAAGGTGGCTGGTTTTCCATAGTTGTTGGGGTTCTTCAGATCTCCTTTGTACTTGACATGTGGTCTACCCTGCCTGCAGCCTGGCTCTCCCAAGCCCTGCAGATGAGCGTACAACTGTGTTTTCTTGTACAGGGTGGTAGCCAAGCATGAATGCTACATTGGTGAAAGACTAGAAGGAAAACATCACACCTTCTATAGGGAAGAGTTAAGAAGAGTTCCTAGGGAGGATATTACCATGAGGAAAAAGCACCAATAGTAATAAGCTAATACATGGCACTTCTCAGCACTAATTTTCAGGCTCTGAGCCAGTCATCTTTCTGTTTGCTCTGATTCGTTTCTTGACCCTTTCCCTCCTCTGTTCTGCATCATAGGGCTACATGCAAACTACCTCTCTAAGTGTCCCTTATAAATGGCTTGAGTCAGTGGGGGGCATGGTGGGGAACTGGAGAGGGGCAGCAGGGAGGAGCCAGGGTGCCTTTATACTCTCTGCTTCGAGGGGCTTCATTCCTCTGTAGCTTTAGACCTGGGGACTCAGTGGTCTTATGACCCATCTGTGGCTCTGAGTCATGGTAATACATATTTTCTATGAGTCCCCATACTTCAGCCATAGGGTGCTAGAGGATTCCTGCTGCCAAACTCTGTTCACTGGCTCTTTCCACCATCTCTATAACCAATTCACTGGACTAAACTCTCTCTCTTGGATTGTGTGACATGGGTTCTCTTTTTCTCACAGGACCCTGGCTGTTGGGTCCCCCACTATGTTAGTTATTTTCCCTGGTCAGAACATTCTTTTTTCTATATGGGACATCATCTCTGAGTTATGTAGGATTATATTGGATGTATGTAGCTAATATAATATAATGTAATATAATATAATATTTGTATTTAAAAATCACACCAAATATTTGGCATGGATACTAGTTTATTCTTTGTTCTCAAAAAGAAATCTGTTATTTTGTCTTTCTGACAACATTGTTTATAACAGATGAGGTGTTGGTAATAATTATACTCAATAGCAGTATAAATCCCATTGGAAAATGTGTTTTATTGAAGACCACCTGTTTACACATTATGTAGCATTAGGTAGTCCACACAATATTTTGTTTCTTCAAGGGAAACAAATTCATTTCTATAAATCCTAAGACACAGATGGTAGATGCTAGGAAAAACATCGAACTAGATGCAGCCTTTTAACAATATCTGAGCTCTGTAGGCAGAGTGAGAAGTAAATTCCACATTACTTAGAGATTTTTCATACCACCCAATGAAATATCTCCATGTTCAGGAATAATCTAAACGAGGCTCTTTGTCTATTAGATATACCACTGAGGGAATAATAGATTGAGTACTCCTAAAAAACATAGAACTACTTAGTTAATGAAATCTCAAAGGGGGAAAAAAAAAAAGCAGAAACCCATATCTCAAAATTTGTGGAGAGTCATGGTGCCATGTTATTGGTTCCAAATTAAGGGATGTGCACACCCTTCCACTATGGTGTTCTGCCTCACCTCAGGTCCAGAGCAATGGAGCCAGCCATCTATGAACTGAGACCCCTGAAACCATGAGTCCCTGATGAACTTTTTCTCCTATACATTGTTCTTGTCAGCTCTTTTGGTCACAGTAATGAAAAAGCTAACTAAAACACTGGCACCTCTTCATGGAGTCAATTTCCCTCTGTTACAGCAGAGTGTCCCAGCACCAGGCCTGCCTTCAGGAGCACGTCACACTGAAGTCTACACTTGTTTACTGAATCATTAGATTAGCATCTTTCTTTCCTACCACACAGCGAATCCTATGAGGGCAGCAACTGTCTACAATGTTGCTTATGATTATTTTTTTTTCTAGCAAACATCACATAATAAATATGCAAGACAAATCAGTTAAATGTATGCATGAATGAATGGACCATGAACAGGAACGAAACCTCTCGAGTTCAGGAAGTGGTGATTGTACTGGAACCAGCTCATGCATTGTTTTGGGGGGATGCTTTGTGGCTCTTCTGAACTCTGCTTCCAATTGTCTTAGCTTGAGGCAAATTAAGCTGGCAAAGATTATATTATCCTTCGAAGCCCTCAAAAGGGATTGTGTGTTCACTATGCTTTCTAATTGTAGGGTTATGATAATAGTGAAAGGGAACGTTGAAACGTCAACAATTTAAAAGAAAAGCATAGATAGAAAGTTATCCATGTTCAAAACAATGAAAAGGCTGGAGAAGAATTCAGATCCAGGAAAAAGGTGACAGTGTGTTCCTTAAATGGTAGGAAGATAAAGGCAAGTTATCATTCAGGTAAGATGTTATCTACCCTTCATATTAAAAAATTAAGTGAATTCAGGGTAATAGACCCTAGGTAACAACTAAAGAAACCTCATTTAGTCCTCATGCTGTAAGACTAATGCAATTTATTTAGAGCTTGTTCAAGCATTAACATACTAGTCAGAACAAAATGAGCCAATTGAAATGTGATTGACAGTGGTTTATATTGGTTCTGCATTTTCAGTTCTAAAATGAAAAGCATCACCTTACCCACATTTACAAATGTAGTCACTCACTGCACAAGAATGTCTTGATTAGTGGCCAAATGATTACACTAAGATGGAATTGTCTTGTGACATGCTGGCTGATTTCTTTAAGTACACTCTATGGTGTTCATACCATGAAATCACCTGATGACATATGTCTTAGGACATGCTCCCATGATTAACATATATAAAAATATTTCTGGGGACAGATCATCTAATACACCCAAGTAAGCATATTCTAATTCTTAAATGGTTGATGTAAAAATTTTATTGTAAAATTTGTCTTTTGATGAATAAATTACTCAGAAAATACTTGGAGAAACTGACATATTGGTTCACTTTCTCTTTTTGTTCTTTCTTCTTCCTTTATTGATTGTTTAGTTCAACTTTCTCATTGCATTTAATTTTTAATGTAGCCACTAAGATCTTTTATAATTCCAAAGACTCTAGTTCACAGAGAAGAAAAGTTGGCATATTAACTGAGTGTTACTTTCCTTGAAGTTTCAGGTTATTAGAATTATTGAGACATTTTATGGAAAATGCAAGATGACACAAAAACAGGGAAATTGCCATAACAGAGAGATGGTTTCCAATGTTATATTGCATTTGTGCTGGTGATTACTCAGCTTATAAGATGAATTCTAAAGCCATGCGTGGGAGCATTTGACTAACATCAATTAACATGACTCAGATCATACCTTTTGGAGAAGAAAACTACATTTCCACTCTTCAGGGATGGTTTTTACTGCTTTTATTTTTTTTTTAATGCCACAGGGAAAAATATTAAGGAAGTTTTCCTTAATCTCCTTAGCTCATTACTGTGATGGATCATGTAATGATGCTCTGGCTCATCATGACCAACCTTGTGCTCTCAAAGTGGGTTTTCCTATGGATGGCAAAGGCTGCTTCACCTTCACACCATTGACCATCCCCCTGTAATTCATATTAACGGGGTGCCTGAATGGAGATAAAAGGATGGCCTCCAAAGAGGTTGATTTTCCACTTGAATGAATCGGTTGACCATGGCCACAAACCTGCAGCCTCAATCCCATTAGCCTTGTGTTCCAACTGATTGAGCTCAGAAGTGACACAAAAGAGCATGCTGAGGAGGATTGGAACAAAAACCATTGTATGTGTTCATAGAGAATGGGCTAAATTAAATATTGATCATTTAACTAAACCTACACTCCTTTGTCAGGCCTCAATGAGATTGTCTTAAAAAAAAAGATGGCTATAGGGGAGATAAGCATATGAGTGATTCCCAAGAGTGCTGATGAGTGATCTGTCACAGAATCAGAACCAATGCAATAAAGTTACAGGAGGAGAGAGTTTATGGTAAGTAAACAAGCACTTAGGATCTCCTTAAACCATTCAGGACGGACTGCTGCAGGGTGTCCTCTTGATGTTCAAGACCATTTGCCTACTTAGTGGGAAAGAACTCATCGGCATATGCTCCTAAATTCCTACTAAGGTTAGGTTCTATGATCTGCCCTTGGAAGACTGAAGGTCCTCCCCCAGTGTATTAGTTGTACACCAAATATGCAACAGAAGATAAGAAAGTCATTAAAACTTAATTGTCCTGAGAAATGGCTTTATCTCAGAATTCTGAATAAATTATGCTTCATATTTCTGTAGTTCCTGAAATGATACGTCCCAGTGTTCTCCTCTATTTTCCAAGTGAAAATATTTTAACCATTGAAATATTGATGGATAAATGATGACAGTAAAGTGTCTTTTTTTTTTTTGTGGTGCTGGGGATTGAACTCAGGGCCTTGTGCATGCAAGGCAAGCACTCTACCAACTGAGCTATGTCCCCAGCCCCTAATATTTTAACTAGTGGGAGAAAAAAAAAGTTGTTATGTCACCACTAAACTAGGCTATAGAGAGATGCCCAAGGTGGAGGGAAAGGCTGGGGAGATGACCTGAAGGAAGTTATTCTAAGATTTTTGGATTGAGGGACTTTTAATCTCCATCACTAGTGGATTTTACTGAGGAAGGCAAACTATTTTTAGCATTACAATTAAATGAAGACCTTCCCCAGTTTGCTTTTCATATTAGAAAAATATTGGTATTTATTTTGTTTTTCTTAATATGTAAAATATTATAGCAATTGTTTATCATTTAAAAGTGAATAGGTATTTTATTTCATGAAAGGAAATGATCAGATGCAGAAAAGGTAAAGACTTCAAGAACTAGGAGATCAAATATCTCTTAAAATGAAGTTATCTTTCTGAAAGATATTATCTTAAAAACATCTATCCTTTCAGGATAAATTAGAACCATGTTCATATGATGATACTCAAGGGACAGAAATAAAAGGCCCTGGGGGGACTTCAGAAGCCTCTGCTATTCAACTGCCAAAATAGGATTTTTGATGTTAAGTGGTGTGAACAGATTGTATTTTAATTGACACATCTGAAGATGAGTAATAGGATGAGTGAAAGATCAAACAGTGACTTTACTTCAGTGAAAGTTAAACACCATTTTTACTAATAAGTAAAATAATAAAACTTTCACACTCAAAAGTTCTGGTTCATACTTCATGTTTTTTAAAGCAGAAAGTTATTTGACTAATCTCTCCAGCGCCATGGTAGGGCACTCAAATAAATAGAATGTCTCAGAGTTATCTAGAAGAAATACGCGAAGGAGGCTCTTGAGATAATGATAAGCACAATATTAGGAACTTCTCAAATCATCAACAATTGCTAAGGATTGAGTTACTTCTGCCCAAGATGTTGTCATAAGAGTCCAGATTCATCTCCTGCCTGAAACAACTAAAGACTCAAAATAAATGACATCATTGTTTTCAAAGCACTGCCCACAAGCCATGAAAGGTTAGTGATATTTCAGAGGTGAGAAGCTCATTAAGTGAAGTTGACAATCGCTTTCCTGTATGCCAGAGAGTTTCCAGGCTGTGGTGCAGGGAGAGAAATCAAGGCAGAGGAATTTTGAGTTCAGGGTAGAGAAATGAGAGAGTGCAGGAAGATAAAGCCAGCTAAGTCCTCAGGATTAGAGTGCTAATGAGAAGAGAGATGCCCAGAGATCTGCAGAGGGTCTGGCCAGCAATAGTAGGTGAAGAAATTATACAAGGCCAGGGGAGGAACCATCAGAAAATATTAGAGAACAGTGCCCAGGGCTCATATAGGGCTCAGAACAGTGCCTACTCCTACCAGATTGAAAAGGTTGAGTAGAAGAACTCAAAAGTCATGGGGCACTGGGTGGAGTAATTAAGAACATCTTGCTTCAGTAAGTGAGGAATAACTGGTCTTATGTTGAACATGCTCTGGTTTTGCCTAGCAAATGATAAAAGCAAGACCAAAAGAGACCAAGCTCTTTCCAAGTGACTTGGATGTGCACAAAGCTCAAGAATATTTATAGAATACAAAAATGTTCAGCACCCAGCAAGGTAAAATTCACAATGTCTGGCATCAATCATAACGTTAAGTAGAGACATGAAAGACACTAAAGTGACTCCAATTGAACTTCTAGAGAGAAAACTCATGTGTGTGAAAATGATAAATACGCTGGATGGAATTAGTGTTAGGTTAGGCATGGCAGAAGATCACATGAGGGAAGTTGGAAACAGAAATAGAAACAGAAACTTTTCAAAATGAAATGCATAAAGATGTAAAAGAATTGTTCATGAACAATAAAAAAAAAACATTTGTGAGCTGTGAGCTGCAGGACAATGTGAAGTAGACTGTTGAATGTGTTTTTGGAATCTCTGAAGGGCATATAGAAGAAAGAATGGCTGAAATTCAATGAAAAGTCTATGTACACTAATCCAAGAAGCTCAAAGAACTCCAAACACAGAGAAGATGAGGGAAAACTACACCAGGCACATCACAATCAAATTGTATAAAACCAGTGACAAAGAGAAAAATCTCAAAAGCAGCTAGTGAAAGAAGATATTTTGTTTAGAAAAAAAAAAAAGATAAAAATGGTAGCAGATTTCTCACAGAAGCAATGCAAGTGAAAAGATCCATTTCCAGAGCTGGAAATCTGTACCCAGAAAAAAAGTTCTTTCAAAGTGAAGATGAAATAAATGTATCACGCTAAAATGAATTTCCTCGATGTTTCTTATTTTCTCACTTTTCCAGGAAGTGAAATTGCTAGAGGTCTCCTGTGGTTACTGCGAAGAATAATGGTCTCCAAGATGTCCATGTCCTGATCCCCAGAACCTGTGAAGGATCTAGGAAAGAATCCTTTCCATCTCCAAATGGCCTCCTGTCTTCCTTTACCGTGGCTCCTGCCGCCATCTTCAAGGCCAGGTGCACCAATTTCTGCCTCTGTCTCTCGTCTTCCTCTTTCACTTAGTAAGACTCTTGTAATTGCACTGGATCTATGTGAATAATCTGCTCATCTCAAGATCTTGACCTTTCTCTTAATCTCATCTCCAAAGCCCCCTTTTGCCACTGAAAAGGTAAATATTCACATGTTCAGATTAACCAGTTAGACCTATATGTGTGTCTTAGATATTTAAATGAAAATCTTTATCTGTTTTAGGTGGGCACAGTGTCACATGTCAGCAACTTGGAGGGCGAGATAGAAGAATTGTAAGTTTGAGAGGAGCCTGAGCAACTTAGTAAAAAACAAAAACAAAACAAAACAAAACAAAAACAAAACAAAAAAGAAAAAAAGAAAAGAAAAAAAAAAGGACTGGGGATTTAGCACAATGGTAGAGTGCCCCTGAGTTCAATTCTCCAGTACATACACACAAACAAATATTTATTTGTAGTAATCACACACTGCTAATTCCTTTGTATTTAGTATAAATTAACCCTCAGAAAATATTTAGTATTTTCTGCTTCAAAATTATTTTTATTTATTTTTACTTTCTTTTCCAATTGACACATAAATTTCATGTATTTATAGGTACCGTCTGACCTTTTGATATATATATATACATAGTGTATTGTTCACATCCAGGCAAACTTACCTTCTCAAACATTTATCATTTCTTGGTGAGGCAGACATTAAAAATTCTTTCTTCTAGCTTTTTGGAAAATTTACAGTACATTATCATTATGGATGTAACTTATTTAAAAATTTAAAATCTATTAAAAGCTCTTTTTTCTACCATAATCAAAGTAGTTAAATCCATAGTTCATAGAAATTAAAGGAACTTCTCTGAGTCATTCATCTTTCTTTCATCTTAAATCACATAGAAGCCAGTACGGGACATAAAAATTTGTATTTGATAGAAATGCATTCTCCAAAGGGGTCAGTTTTAGATTTTTCTTCCTTCCATATTTTTTTAGACATCAAATACAATAAAGAAGAAGTGGTTATACATGAGAAGTTGGTAAAAGAAGTAGGACAGTTGGGAACAGCATAACTGAGACTTTAATACTTTTGTTGAGGGAGCATGTAATCGAGAGGAAGAAAAACAAGACCAGCCATGAACAAGTAGTTTGCCAGCCAAGAAAAGACTAAGGATTGGCCAAAAAGTCCAAATAAAGATTGACAAGAGGCAAAGACTAAGAGTCCATAATTTGAAGAACAGAAGACCTGAGACACTATAATCCTCTTTAGGAGTACAGTGTTTGTGGCAGGTTGTGTGGGATTTAAGAATTTGCAGGATGTTTTCTACAGCATTACTGCTCTCACCTCATTGTTTCCGAGCATTGGAGGAAGTTTTGAGTGACAATCTCTCAGCCGAAGACCTTTCTTTTATTTGTCTAGCCATCGGTACCAGGTTCTTCCCAAACAAGTCCTGTCCTTATCAATGTATTCGTTTCTGAAGAAATAGATTGCCTATAGTATACCACAGGAAGACTTTTGTTCAGGACATCTCATTCTTATACCCTGAAATTTCCCCTTTCAAGTGTAAAACATTAAAAAAAAAAGAAAAAAATTTAAAAAAACATGACCACAACAAAGCAAAAGATGATGTTTGGCCACTTTTCTTTGCATGTTGAAATAATACTGTTTGATATGTTGGATTAAATAAAAGTTATTATTAACATTAATTTCACCTTTTTATTGTAACTACAAGAAAACTGTCAGTTATGCTGTGGGGCTCCCATTACATTTCTGATAGTTCTGCTGTAGAGCCCCAGGAAGGGCTTCCACCATAGTGGGGAGTCTTCCACTCACCAATAGCTTATGTTATGGTTGAGATAGGAAGTGTCCCCCAAAAGCTCATGTGTGAGACAATGCAAGAGTATTCAGATGTAAAACTATTAGATTATGAGAACCATCACCTTACCAACAGATGAATCCATTGGTATAGATTAACTGGGTGGGGATTATAGGCAGGTAGGATGTGGCTAGAGGAAGTAGGTCACTGGAGATGATTATTTTAGGATATGTGTTTTGCTTCCTGCTTGCTATGTCCTGAGCTGCTTTCCTATGCCATGCCCTCCCGCCATGATGTTTTTCTGCCTCACCTCTTGTCCAGAGATGAGGAGTTGGCTGAGCGTGTACTGAACCTCTGAAACTGTAAGCCAGAATAAACTTTCCGTCCTCTATGTCATTCTTTTCTGATCTTTTGATCCCAGCAATGGGGGGCGGGGAAATAAAGCTGACTAAAACAGTTTATATCTAACCTAGTGAAGGTCTTTTTCCAAATGCAGATGAAATTGCAGCAGCAAATCACATTCTTATTCAACGACACAACTCCTCCTTGTCAGTTTTAAATGACTAGCCAATCCCCTGTAGGCTGATTTCCACATCCTTATAATCCCTTCACATTTTTTTTTTAAAGGACAGACACATTTTTCCACTGAATGTTTTAATACACAATTTTAACTGTAGGGGAATATTTAAACAATTACAAATGATGTTGTACTTAAGCCCTATGCTTTCCTGAAACATCTAAATTCTCTGTCATCACCTGTTTTGTTCCCAAACCATTAGACCTTCCTGGGACTCTACAGCAGACCTTTCCATCAGAAATATAATGGGAGCCACAGTAGAACTGACAATTTTCTAGTAGTTACAATAAAAAGGCAAAATTAATGTTAATAATAACTTTTATTTAACCCAGTATATCAAAAAGTATTACTTCAACATGCAATCAATATGAAATTACCAATGAGGTATTTTTTTTAATATCCTTTTTTTACTGAGGCTTGGAATCCAGTGTGCATTTTACATTTATAGCACATTTCAATTCAGACAAGCCTCACTTCAAGTGCTCAGTAACCGCATGTGGTGCGTCGTTAATGTGTCAGAGAGCAAGGCTCTATGCCTCTCCTGGTTCGTAGTTCTTAGGAAAATCTTCCTCTGACTGTTACTTTATTCTGGTATCTTTAGCTTTCCATTGGACTTGGTTCCTCTGTCTTGAACCATGCACAGCGTTCTCTTGAAAATCCTTCACTTGCACTGGATCCCCTTAAACCGCATGTCTCAACATTGGATCCCTGACAGACTCTCCCCATCCTTGCTCCCTGCAGGTACGGGCTCCACAGCCATGACCAGGTATGGCTCAGTGGCCAGGTGACTGGTTCTAGAAAATCAGACCCGTGTGACAGGGTCAGCTTGAGTAGATTTTCTTACTCTGTAAAAGGAACACACGACAGGCTCATTCTTTCCCGATGCTGGACACTGTTGTCTCGCTGCATCACTCAGCACTACAAGGGTCATCCTGGGTCCCTGAGGGGACCAGGCTATACAGGCGAAGCTGCGCATAGTCACAGACTCAAGAGAGGGAAGAAGGAAGGAAACTGTTGAGGAGTTTACTCACCACCAATGAGCAGAGGAGAGCTCAGGTGGGTGTCTGGTGCACCATGGCAGGGTAACCTGGGGACCCGGCTCTGCAGGTCCTGGGAGTGGGCTCAGGGGCATATGACTGGGAATTCCAGCATCCCAGGCACTTACACCATGATCCCTAGGCAGGATCAGAGGAAGCACAGGCTTTGGGTGGCTTTTCATGGCACTCTGAGGAACACAGGCAGAGGAAGGCCACGGTTGGTCTTAAGCTGGGCACCCAGGCAGGGTCCCAGGACTGAGGAGAACTGGACACAGGATGTTAATGTGACCCATCAGATCCCGGGGCTCGGGAAGTTCTGCCGCTGTGGATTCACAGGCCATGCATAAAATGGTCCTTCTTGGAACAAGATAATATCCTAGCATATTCATTTTTAAAAAAATATCTTGGAATTTTTGTTTGAGATTTTAAAAATATCCATTTCCAGGCATTCATATCCATAGTGGTAAGGTTTTTTTTTTTACTATGATTCATAATGCTCTTATTGCCTCTTCTTCTTGGATTCAATTGCTCAAATAAATTCCCCAGTTGTTCTACTTGTTTTTATTCCTTTTTTTTTTTTTTTTGGTGTTTTTAAACTTGCTCTTTTTCGTTATACATGGCAGTAGAATTCATTTTGATATGATTATATAAGCATGGAATATATCTTATTCTAATTAGAACCCCAGGATTCACTATGGTGTATTCATATATGTATATAGTACATTTATTTTGGACTCACTCCACTATCTTTCCTTTTCCTATCCCCTCACCCTTCCCTTCATTCCCTTTTGTCTAATCTACTGAACTTCTATTCTTCCCCTCTTCCCCTTTATGACTGGTTAGCTTTCCAAAATCAGAAAAAAAAAGTTGACCTTCAGTTTTTCGGGATTCTACATAGCATGATAGTCTCCAGATCCATCTATTTACTGGCAAATGTCATAAAGCCATCCTTCTTCATGGCTGAGTAATATTTCATTGTGTATATATACCACGTTTTCTTTATCCATTCATCTGTTGAAGGGCCCAGCTATTCTTTTAGGAAGGATCCCATTTGGTAAACTGTCTAAAATTCTCTTCAGTTTTTCATATTAAATTTGAGACTGAACTAGATACAAACCAGCCTTCATTTTCCCTGAGCACTTGGGAGAACTGACCCAGTGACTGCTGGAAAGCAGAACTAGTCACCTGTGTTCACTTCTCCCCACGGCCTGGGACCTTTTATATATTCATGTGCATCTAAATATACCTGGCTGTGTCCTTCAGTTCAGGGAAATTTTCTTGTATTTTGCTTAGGATTTTCTCTTCTCCTGTTTTGATTCTCTTCTGAAACTCAAAGTGGATAGATGTTTGGGGTTTGGCCTGATCCTTCCTTTCTACGTGTCTGAGCTCTTCTCCTTCTTTCCATCTCCATGTTTGTTTACATGGAATTGCAGCGGGTCCTTCCAGAACATTCATTCTTTTAGCTGTATTCATTCTGCTTTGGATGGAGAGTGTGTGTTTGTGTGAATCTTAGGAATTTAAAAGAGTGGCATGGGGCTGGGGTTGTGGCTCAGTGGTAGAGCACTTGCCTAGCACATGTGAGGCACTGGTTTCGATCCTCAGCACCACATAAAATCAATGAATAAATAAAATAGAGATATTGTATCATCTTCAACTAAGAAGGAATTTAAAAAAGAGTGGCATGTTCTTATTTTATTAAAGATTTGAGGAAAATAACCATATTTATTTTAAAGTAGTGTTTGCTTTCTTCTACTGACAATATTTCCTTGGGGTTAGTGAGTTCTGTGGCTTGAGGGATGTGATGCTTGAAAGTGTTAGTTTTCTTTCAAAGTTTGGTGATTCCAGGTTAT